ACAGGAGTAGAGGTTTATCCCTTTTTTTCCAGTTTAGGATTGTTTTTCTGATCTCTTCTAAAGTATTTAATTCTTGTTCATTCCCAGTAAACCCTTGCGTCTTAGTGGAATTATCGACTATTTTTTTTAAAAAAGATCGGGAAGAACTATAGCATATTAAATGTCAATTGTTAGAGCGGAACGGGGAGCATAAAATAGAAAAGAGAGGTATTAATCCTGGCAGCACAGAACAACAGTTTTGGTATACTTTACAAAATCAGATGTGAAGTAAGCTTGAAAAAGAAACAATTTTTAAATGGCACGGAATTAATACATGGAAAGATATGATTGTCTGGGAATTGCAATTCAATGCGATCTGTGCAACTCACCTGAAAATAACTAAGTAAACTTTGGCAAATGATTTTATGAAGAATGAGAACACGATTATGTGCTTTGCTGAACAACGGATCAACCATTCTCTACAAACTAGAAAAAGCAAAATACTAATAGAAAAGTAGGAGAATTTTATGAAATACGAGGCTAATATATTAATTCCTGGGATAGTCTTGTGGAAGCAAGTTTCGCTTACTTGTATATTATCGGCTGTGGCTACATTCAAAATGTCTTCCTTTGTGCAGATATCCATTTTGTAAGCGGATGGCGCCACTGCTAGAAACATTCTTGGAAATCATTTTCCGGAATACATTTTAGAACAGGGTTATACAATCTACATATATTTGACTTTGGAATAGAACGTTCCAAAACTGAGATGATGTAATCAAAAGAAAAAAGGAAATTATTATAAATCAATCTAATATATAATTTTGCTTGCGAATCTATCCTTCCAAAAATGAAATACAATTACATTTTATTCAATTATTTATTCAGAATTATTTGCAATAACTTCTTGTTTATTATCACAAAGTTTCTGCATATTTTGATGGGAAACATTTCGACGAAGACTTGATTTTGATTTTCATTAGAGAAAGATTTCCCCATCAGAGCGTTCGACATTGATCGAAAAACTTAATAATCGTTTGGCCCAAGGTCTGGAGAATATAGCGGGTGGGGTAGAACAAACCAACACAAAAGAGTTCCTGTCTTATATTTGTTGTATGCAGCCTAACGTTGGTATGCCATATGGAGAATAACATTTTTTATGATTGGCGAGCGCCGGGTTTTTTCTACCAAATACACGTCCATTTAGTGCTTCACTGCGTTTTTACGAACTTGAAATGGATAATGCTCCGATGATCCCGTCACATGTACAACATTAACTTTCTTTTATGGAGATCAGCGTTTAGTGTCGATTTGGGAGATTTATCCATGTTAGTCCCCTGCCGTATGTCATGGTACTCCAGAATTAGTATTAACTTATAAAAGTTGGTGATATAATAAAGTCTGTTTGACTTGTGATTATTGAGGTCATAAATTTGCCAGGATTTATTCGAAGCGTTTTATACGCAATAAACGCTGCTTCTTGGAGAGAAACAAAACGTGAAGTCTGTTTGACTAATGAAAAAGAAACAACACAGATATAAATATATATTTTCTCTTCCATATTTCATCTTCTGATGAAGCTTAAATAAAAGCGAGGCATGTTAAAGAAGTATTTCCTATTTGTTCTTTATCCTATCTTCCTATCGAATTCTAATCCATATTTGATCCCAATTCACACACACACACACACACACACACACACACACACACACATATATATATATATATAACTTGACGAGTGAATGCATTACTACAATGTGCTCACGAAAATTATGACTGAAATAACACCACTCGCTTAAGTGACGTGTTTCTCCGCCTTAATTCTATTAACGCTCTAATACTTGCCTTTTGATATTGAGAATTTTATGACAAAACCTGCCTGCCAAAAATGCCTTTCCACCAGTAAACTAAGGAAAAAACACAGCAATTTTGGCACCTAACTCTTACACTTTAATACTACACCCCCCCATATATATATATATATATATATATATTGTCTATCGTCGTCGTTTGCAAAATTCGCTGCGATCACATTTGTTTCTTAGTGAAATGAATCCTTTGTTGGATCTATATATCATCGTTTATCAAATATATATATATATATATATATATATATATATATATATATATATATATATATATATATGTGTGAAAAAATAAGAAAGAACATGTTAGGTAAATAATCCGGAGTTCTTTAGTATTTTTGTTTTTATTTAAAAAAAAAATAGTGCTTCATACAGAAGTAGAGGTTAAATTATAATTATTTTTAAAAAAATAATATTCCTTCGCTACATAAGAGTTCTCGTGTTTCAAAAACGAGAGCCGAAAACCTCAATATAATTATTAAAAAGTTAAAGTAGCCCTGTTTCATCCTCAAGCGAAAATTTAGGAATAACCAATCTTGAAATTTACGCATCTTTATATGAACATGCTTATAATGTTATTATGTTTTCGGCTCTCGTTTTTTTGAAACCTTATGTAACGAAAATATTTTTTTAAAATATATATATATATATATATATATATATATATATATATAAGTGGACAATGATGTCAACACCACGCGTTAGAAGTCTGTTTCATGCTTGAACGGAATCTTCAGGCCAGTTTGTAGAGAATGACCTGAATATTGCGACCAAGAATGAAATAGACTGTCACCAATCGATGTTGACCTCAGCGCCCACAACCATATTTACATATGCTTTATCTCTGATATTGAGTACTTTTAGCGATGGTTGGCAGCACAGATACACATGAGGTTTGCTTAACCAATGAAAAATAAGCAACAAGAAAAAATTTAAATATCAACATATTTTTTCGTTCTGTGACGTCCCTAAACACAGCCTTCGCTCGCTCCTCGCTGCTTCGTTCGGGTGTCGCCGCCCCAAACGTGACGTCCGCCTGTCGCGTCAGTCGTGTTGTCTCGTCCTGTGACGACCAACTGGCTTGGTATCGGTCGCGGCACCCAAATGTGACGTTCTAACCTTTTGGTGATTCGGATGGGAATCTGTTTAGATTCGATATCAGCCTCGTCGTTCCCAACTCGCTTCCAACGTCTGGTTACCAAAGTAACTGCGTTGATCTCCACTCTGCCTACCCACGTTGTGAATTGATCTTAAGCAGACGAAATCAATCAGTCGTTAGGGCCGTAATGCAAGTTGGGTTCAAGCGAGGGTAGTATCACACAAATATGTATAAAAGAAATAAAATGATAACTCAAAAGTTCAAGGTATCAAAAAAAGGATAACAATACTTTATGTCTAGTTGCTGGATACATAGGACTGCGTCTATCTCCCGACCCGTTATATGGATTGTGACGTTGTTTTTTTTGTTAGGCGAGTTTTAACACTTTAAGTTGTCTGTTCTTTAAGAAATTGGTTCTTGGTGTGTCTTCAGGCGAAAGTCGAAAAACTTATTTTGGTGGTATGGATCTAAGTCGCTCTTCAAAATAAATTGTTCTTGGATTGAAGATGAGTTCGGAAGTTGTGCGAATCTTAGTCAGCTGAGAGGCCTGCTTCAACTGAGCACTCTGAACTCTTCTCTGCTGAACTCGGAACTCCACTGAGCTGTACTCTACTGATTTCTGCTCGCTGCGACTTTGCTTATATGGACGCCGACCAAAACCGGGGTGGGTTTGTCGGCGTTTGGAGGTTCCTCGATAATTCTAAATACATATCCACTTCTTTTATTTTTGGTTAGGAATTTTCCACTTCTTTCCATTTTTGGAAGTCTTCTCTTCCTCCCACCTTCTCACCATACTTCAGAGGGGCGTCAACGGTCCTCCCCACTTCTTCGTAGCAACTTCTCATACCCATCCTCTAAATGGGCGGCGGCGGATTCCCTCCTTGCGTCACGTGATCACCTCCGGCCAATGATGTCCACCCGGGCGTGTGCGATCCAGCTGGCTTTGTTTCAGGAAGAAAAAAAAATATATCTTGCTCAAAAAAAAATTATCTTTTTCTTTTCCTTTTCTTTCCTTAATCGCAGCTCTCATCCCCCAATGTCACCTGGGATCCATCAATGCCAATTATCAAGTGAGGCAGTCGTCCAGCGAAAACACAGTCGACCGTCGTCTCGAAAAAACAGTTCCATTATTCTAGTCATTCTTGGTGCCAATTTCTGATAACATAGTTTTGTTATCACAACCGAACTCTAACATCTATAAATGTCTTGTCAAAAAACGGTCAGTCGTTACTCAGGGTTGGCTTCGTGTGCGGCTAGCAGACGACACAGTTAATTTTTCTTATCTATCCAAAGCCCTGTATTTCACCTGTTCTTTGTCAATTATCAAAATAACATTATCAATTGGAGTTCTCTTAGCTAGTCGGTCTGTGGTTTGCTAATTAGATGTTTGCCAGCATTAAGCGGCTGTTATCTATCCCCGATAACACAAGTTCGCCGCCAGAACATAGTCGATTCCTTATCCACTTAGAATTTTTTCTGCAATGGTAATGACACCTTTTCGCCATTTGCTACTTATCAAAATAACATTGTCAATGCCCCTGGTCGTGGTGGTTTCTTTTATCATCTACGCTTAAGTCTCGCCTCGCTTTTCCTTTCTTTCCTTTTTTCTTTTTCCTTTCTTTTCTTTTTTGTCCTGTTAAATGGTGTCACAGTTCTTTCTTTTTCTCCTCCATATTTAATTCTACGTTTTATAAGCGTTTCCTATTTATTCTTTGTGCCCTAATATATATATATATATATATATATATATATATATATATATATAAACTGATTGATTTATTGATTAGTTGTCTACGGTTTATCAACCCTTTTCAGGTTTAAAGATTAAAAGCCAGAAAATAGTTTTTGATGGTAAGACATTATTTGAGCTAATAATTGTTTAATGATACAAGTATTACTAATTAACCCATAGTTGTGGGAGGAGTAGAGGACTCATACCTGTGCCTAGAGTATTTGTGTGTAAGTCAATATACACAACCCACGGGAATTATAATATTGCACTCAAGTAACAATTCCGAGCCATTCATTTATTACGCCACCTGCACATCCAAGCTTCAAACACCTTGTATTCTCTAGCAGTCACCCATCTAAATACAAACCAGGCTCGATGTTTCTTAACTTCAGTGATCGTATGGGAAACGGTGTTTCAACAAGATGTGACTGTAAGTCCAATTTGCACGTATATGGTTTTAATAACAGTGCCTGTTGAATTTGGAACTGTGGTATTGCACTTAATTTGAAAGTTCCTGTTTGGCATGAGAAATTATAAACTGAAATATACTTTTCAGGACTTTGACCATTTTTTGAAGAAACAAGTTTAAATACTAAGTTTAGGTTCAATACTGGAACGTGGGAATTTTATTCCGATGATTAATGGAAGCCTTATAGAACAGCGTTAAAAAATTTATAATTGAAATATATGCAGTAAGTTGAATTTAAATTAAAATGGATAATAATTTCCATAGCCAACAAATGCATATCTTCAACATGATCCAGAGAATAAAGCAACAGACACTCGAAAACCAGAATGTTGCATTCAAAAGTTTACAGCAGAATGATTTCGATTTGTTTCCGTTACTTTTTGCAACCTCTCTGCGTAGTAGTAGTCGTAGTACAGCTCTCCCTGTCCATAATAGTAACTGGGTTTGCTAGGTATAGCTGTTCCCTATGTTCGCCAGTTGTTCTCTATTTATATTTGTCTATCTAACTTGCATACGATGCTACACTTCCAAAAATATTATTTACTCAATGTTGAAGTCAGGTAAATTGTAGATTAGGCAAGAGGCTATACAAAATGTTGTCCATCAGATAAGTAATGTTCGCCAGTTGTTCTCTATTTATATTTGTCTATCTAATTTGCATACGATACTACATTTCCAAAAATATTATTTACTCAATGTTGAAGTCAGATAAATTGTAGATTAGGCAAGAGGCTATACAAAATGTTGTCCATCAGATAAGTAATGTTCGCCAGTTGTTCTCTATTTATATTTGTCTATCTAATTTGCATACGATACTACATTTCCAAAAATATTATTTACTCAATGTTGAAGTCAGATAAATTGTAGATTAGGCAAGAGGCTATACTAAATATTGTCCATCAGATAAGTAATGTTCGCCAGTTGTTCTCTATTTATATTTGTCTATCTAATTTGCATACGATGCTACACTTCCAAAAATATTATTTACTCAATGTTGAAGTCAGATAAATTGTAGATTAGGCAAGAAGCTATACAAAATGTTGTCCATCAGTTAAGTAAGCATTTATTCATAATTATTTTTTTGTTTCAGAAATAACGGACCACTAAAGAACAGATTAAAAAAAATTTACATTCATCAACTCTGAAGAAACTCTGGTCAATTTTGACTGATCTATCACTTTGTGAAGCTGCCCTTGCAGAAAGCTTTTCAAATAATGAACTGCAGTCTGTTGTAATGGAGGGAACGACGCCGGAGTTGTGGAATTTACCTTCACAATCGCAAGGTGTGGAAAGAGGAGTTAAATTAACTATTAAAGCTTCACAAATTGTATATGCATATGATGCAAGGCACAAGCACATTATTGCTAAATCCCTGTGCTATTAAATAAGACCTTCATTTACTTCAAAGTGAAGTTATAATGAACAATGTAGCTATAATATTATGTAATATGTTATACAGTGCAGTAGTTTTAGTGCAATTTTCAGTAAATGCAAATTTAAAACATTTGTCTTATAATTCGTGACCAGCAGTACCTTAGTGTTATATGCAATTTTATTTATTTTTTGATGTTATTTATTATGACCGAAGAAATTGTGATTAGGATTTTTGTAATGTTTTACAATTCTTCCAGTTTTCACTGCAAATCTTGCTTGTGGTGATTCATAATTAGAATTCTGGTTTTAATACATTTTCCATTTAACGTATCTAATACAAAAAAATATCAACTTTATTCTTGAAATAGTAAAAGTTTGAAGTCAGTCTGTAAGTAAAAAATGGCGGAAATTAGGAATTTCTGTACATTTTTTTAGACGATATTCAAAATAAAATGCTCAAAAATTACTAAAAAGCTTTAAATCTAATTTTTGGTGTCCCTCCTTAACATAAAAGAACACAGATTTCAAAATGAGAGTAATATAAATTTTCAAAAATAAATGAAAAATCAACCTGCCCTATTCAACAATACTATTTCATAAATGAATAGCGATGTGTAGCTACAAAAAATAACGTGGATATTAAGAAATAATATCAGAGTGGGAAAGAACAAGAATTTATTTATTTAGCAACTTTTCCTTCCAAGTAACTTTTGTCTTTCGTTATATTCAGATAACTATCTACTTCGTAATGTGTATATACAAATGTCGGTACGGAAAGAGAGTGTTATGGAAAGTGTGTCGACTTATTTATACTTCTACATTTTCTCGCAACTAAAGTCTCGTAGGGAGTTTATTTATTGATTAAGTAAATAATCAGTGGCTGGTGGTCACGATTGTCGTGACGTCAGTAAACTAAATATAACGACAATAAAATCAGTCGTACATCCGGGCATTCTGTCCGTTGGACACGTGGCATTGTTATCTTCTCTATCCCATTGTATGGATCCGTCTGCAAAAAATAACGAAACCCATGTTTATATTTATTCTCAGCTTTCTATAGAATGTGATATTGGGGTGAAGGGGAGTAAAGTTATAGAAAGGAAAAAAAGAGAAATAAAGAAAAGAGAGAGAAAGTGTATGTGTGTGTGTGTGTGTGTGTGTGAGAGAGAGAGAGAGAGAGAGAGGGGGATGATACGAGAACTTAAAATAATAACAGGGAAATCTAGAGAATTCTCATAACGGCGCGGATTAGGTTGATTGTGATGCTGGGGATGATGATGTTAATCCTGATATAATGTCTCAGGGATTAAAGAGATGTTGGCATCAGTAGAAATGATTCTATTGATGATGATGACGACGATGTTGATGATGATGATAATAATAATAATAATGGTGGTGTTGGCCTTCGTTGAAGAAATATATATATCCGTTGTATATTGTGGTTCAGTTCATGACCTCTGATCTAACTATTGTCATTAAAAGTATCAATGAGCATAATATCAAACGCGATGAACACACACACACGTATATATATATATATGAAGAAATATAGCCTTAAGGTGTGCTATATTTATGGGATAAAGTGCTCAATATCAGAGATAGAGAGTGTGTAAATATAAAAGTGAACATATATATATATATAAATAAAAAAAAATAAATATATAAAAATGAAGTACTGTTTCACAGCTCTTCAATACGAGCAGACAGCCGAATGTCTCAAGCCAGGATTGAAACCCAGACCTATCTTCATACAAATTTCAGCGGATTGTTTTTACCAATGTCAATCAGCTCGCTATATATATATATGCTTATTTGAGTAGGCGCTCAGTTTATATATTAATCAATATATTTATTTATTTTATCTGCTGTCGGAACATGCCAGAAATCTTATTAAAGAAAAGATTGCGTTCTCTGACAGGATTCGAAACTGTGTGCCTCTTGCCAGTGAAATCGACCATTAGGCCCAGCACGATCTATTCAACTAAATTACCGAGATAGAGTCGACCAGGCAAAGCCGAATTATGTATGTATGTATGGAGAAAAATAGATGGAATGATAGAGAGGTGGGGTAATAATGAGAAAGAACATATAAAAGAGAAGGCACATATATATATATATTTACACATTTTATGATCTATTTAGATTGGTCTTTTCTACGTATGATAAGAAGGAGGGGAAGAAGAGAAGGAAAAAAGAAGGATTGAAAAAATCTACCCAGTTGAGAACTGGAAAGAAAGCGAAAACGAAAGAAATAGATACAAAATACTTATATAAAAAAAGAGGTATAAATGATCGCAAGAAAGAAAGAAAGAACTAGATTGATTGATTTGTTACGGCTTATCAACCTTTATTTATAGCCATAATAGTACTATTATTTAAAGCCATACAATACTTTTAAATTGTAATATTTTGGGGAGACAATAATGATTTCTTGAGACAAGTCATAATTATTAACCCATAGCTGGGGAAAGAGATGTGCATTTATACGTTTTCCCATGGGTATTTGTGTATTTTTGGATATAAAGAACCCGACTAGAATTGGATCTCAGAGAGTCCAGTTCCAATTTTGAGTCATTACCCTTTACGGCACCCGCACATCCAAGCTTACAGCACCTAGTATTACTAATCGGTCACCCATCTAGGTACTAAGCAGGCTCGCGTTGCTTAACTTCAGTGATCGCGCGAGATGTTGTTTTTCCCATGTGATAAGGCCGGAAGCCGGGGAAGACCAGAGATAAAAAGAGAGAAGCAACAAGGTTGACAGTTCAAAAGAAGGTAAATAAAAGAGTTTGAAATAGAGGAGGATTTTGGTGGATTTAGGATTAGACTGTGACGGTAAATGCGACTCTGAGCTCCGTAGGCATATTGGTATAGCCAAGGACACATTCCAAAAGCTGGGCAGAGTATTGCGAGACAGGAGGATCTCTTTGGTAACAAAGAAAAGAATACTGCGCTGTTACGTGACACCTGTCCTTCTTTACGGCAGCGAATCTTGGACGATCTCCCCAAAAATGAAGAAGAGACTCGAGGCGTCGCAGATGCAGTTCTACAGAAGGATGCTAAGGATATCACGGACAAAGAATATGGGCAACGATGAGGTCTTGGATAGGTTACAAACAAGGAGAAGGCTTATAATTAACATCAGGAAGAGGAGGCTGAAGTTTCTGGGATACATAATGAGGAAGGTAGGCCTGGAGAATCTGATACTCAAAGGTCAAAAAGGCGCAAAGAGAGACAAGGGAAAGCAGCGCGTGACATAACTGGCGAGCTTGAGAAGGTGGATGTCGTAGAGGGAAGTAACTTGTTGAGAGCTGCAAGGGATAGAGGAAGAAGTGGAGAGCCATGATCGCCTACGTCCTGAAAGATAATGACACATAAGAAGAAAGAAAGAAGGGGAGAGTGAAGAGGAAATAGAGGAAATGTGATTGAATTGAGATCTAGATGGCGGGAAAAATGCCATGAACGGAGCTCCTAAGCAACGAAGAAATCTTCAAATATTATATTCAGAATCAGAAAGGAAACATAAGGAAAGAAGGCTTGAAGTATTTGACACTTCCATGGCATGTCGAAGGCAAAAAGGCTCAGA